ACATATAATCCGTAATTCTTCTTCCCTGTTGCCAGTTAGATCTATTTTATACAATGGTATGTTCAACGAATTATTAATAATAAATCATCTACTTTTAATCCTTATTTAATAGCTTCTTCATTACATAAACTAGAAATTAATTCAATAAAATAGATGATTAAAATATATTAAACAACATATACTTATTCTAGTAAAAATGATTGCGCTGTAGAAAGAAATTATAAATGAAAAGGTGACTATGATGGTATGGAGGATAGAAATGAATTATTGCTTCATTTTGTGTAATTAACACAAATAACGCTCGTCTGGAGACTCGCTTAGTTCCTTCTCCTAGAAACGATATGTCTTTACTACCAGTAAACTGTTTATTCTAATAAATTCAAAAACCGACTTCAGATTTGAGTCCTTCGATCTTGATAACCCTTCCGGCAACTCTTATAAAAAATATCTTCTTTTGTAGAAAAGTGTTCCTTTGTCTAAAAAACTTAATACTTAAACGAATCTAAAAAAACTAACGTCATATTCGAATTCCTCGTTCCCAATTACCTTTGGTCAATCGTTTTCTGATGACCACCGATAAGTCTTCTTTGACTTCTAAACTGCTGCAATCTAATTGACTTGGACAAACTTCAAGCATTTAAACGATCCTGTTTAACGAGCCTACAACCCTTTCTTTCAGAAAAGGGAATAATAAGAACATAAAATATATCCACTTTCTAAAATACAATAATTAAACTGTTCAAACTATTTGACAAAAAAGGCTGTAGTTGAAAAAATTGATTTGTTTGAACATATTATTGAATTATTCATATATTATCATCCGAATACATGTGGTTGGGAACAACAAGTGATTAATACTCTTCACATCTGTATTTATATTCACTCAGTTGTTAAAATAATGATCTGTCTTTGACCAACTATAGCTCTTTTTCAACAACCACCATACAATATGAATTTGAGATATTACTGCAGCTGATATATTATTTAGTGAATGGTAATGTATTAAGAAATGTGAATGATTAAATAGTTTGATTACATATAGAAAAAAATTATAATTCAGTTCAAAAAAGAAAATGTTATTCTGTTCATAGTGATTAATAAAGCTCGGCACTATTGAGATAAGTAACACTGTTCTCTCCACCAGCAACTAATACTGTTCCATTTGCTAATGTGGATGCTGTGTGGATATATCGGCCGATACTCATGTTTGATGTAGTTGTCCAAGTGCCTGTTGATGGATTGTACAATTCAGCACTACTGTGGTAACCACTACTGCTGTATCCACCAGTAACTAATACTAATCCATTTGCTAATACGGATGCTGTATGATATTGTCGTGCGGTACTCATGTGTCCTGTGGTTGTCCAAGTGCCTGTTGATGGATTGTACAATTCAGCACTATTGAGATAACTACCGTTGTATCCACCAGCAACTAATACTAATCCATTTGCTAATGTGGATGCTGTGTGAACATATCGTCCGATACTCATGTTTGCTGTAGTTGTCCAAGTGCCTGTTGATGGATTGTATAATTCAGCACTGTTGAGATAACCGTTGCTACCAACTCCACCAGTGACTAATACTGATCCATTTGCTAATGTGGATGCTGTGTGATAACATCGTCCGATACTCATGTTTGCTGTAGTTGCCCAAATGCCTGTTGATGGATTGTACAATTCAGCACTATTGAGATAACCACCGCTGTTTTTTCCACTAGTAACTAATACTGATCCATTTGCTAATGTGGATGCTGTGTGGATATATCGGCCGATACCCATGTTTGCTGTAGTTGTCCAAGTGCCTGTTGATGGATTGTATAATTCAGCACTGTTGAGATAACCGTTGCTACCAACTCCACCAGTGACTAATACTGATCCATTTGCTAATGTGGATGCTGTGTGATAATATCGTGCGGCACTCATGCTTCCTGTGATCGCCCAAGTGCCTGTTGATGGATTGTACAATTCAGCACTATTGGGATAACTACCGTTGTATCCACCAGCAACTAATACTGATCCATTTGCTAATGTGGATGCTGTGTGATAAGATCGTCCGATCCTCATACTTCCTGTCATTGTCCATTCTAGATAAGACAGAAGAGTGAGAAAAAAATGTTGTTCCTAAAATGACTTCAAAACCCTCATGTGCATAAGGTGTCTATCTATTGATGACAAATTAAACGATTTTAAACCTTTAATAAACTTCTCTTTGTTTTCATGATTAAGATAAGATTCATTATGAAATGTTAAATCAAACTGATAAAAAAATATGTTATAAACGACTTCATTGATATTTTGTCGAGTTCTATCGATGTCGCAAACTAATGAAACTAAAACACTGTTCTGCAATTCAGTTATGATGAATAATGATCGAATTTCAGGATTTGAGTGAAAATTATTATACATTATTCAACCTAGTGGAAACAATGTGTACTTTCACTATATTGGATAGATGGTGTATGGATGTGTCAAGATATAGATAGGGATAAATGTCAATGAGGATGATGACTATAAGTAAAAAAATATAATTCTCGCATCTTTCTCATGAGAAAACCAGTTTACTAAGGGTTAATTGATGATGGTGAAAGGCGTTTTTCTCGAGTTTAAAATTTGCATTTTATATTACTACGATATTTGTTTTGAACTACCTAGCTCTATACAAATGAGACCTAAAACATGACATAAGGTGTTGATAGACATGTGTCATGTAATATTATGTCAACTAGTACTTCAACGTGTAAAATTATTACAATCATCTTGAGAATGGGTGGGTTTACGTGATTACTAAAACGATCAATGAGTTCTATCGTATGGAACAATTCTTATCAACAACGTTTTTGTCTAATACTGCTGAACTGGACGAGAATATTCAATACTTAAATGAGTGTAGATCAAATGAAGTCATCAAAAATTGGCCTTATTTCGACTTCTGATAGGAAATGTTCCCTGATCTTATTTATCTAGTTGACGGTCATTCATTAGCTAAAATCAAAAACTTATAGATATCCTCATTTCGAGTAATTATCGTTTGAGCTACTACAAATCATTTAACATAGTACTGACTTGGTATTGCTGTTGCTGATGTTGTTGTTGTTGTTGTTGATGATGATGTTGTTGTTGATGATGATGTTGTTGATGTTGATGTTGATGTCGTAGTCGGTTCTATATTGGAAAAATAATTTTAGATTGAGACTAAACAATTGGATAAGATTGTTTCTTCTTCTGTAACAATGTATCGACGTTAAGTATGAGCTGATCATAATAAAATAGGAAGTATTTAAATGATTCCCATTATAATTGTAATTCTACGATATTTACTTCAAGTATATCTTAATTATAATAGTTGTGACAACTTAATTTTCATTTCTTGATAAGTTTAATAATCAAACTTTTCGAATCACACAAATTAAGTCATATAAGATTTGCACACTTATTCTTTTCTTGAAATCTTTTATTTTTTTATTTAAGATGAGATTCTGATCAGAAACTAATTCTGACTGAAAGAGGCAAGATCACAAAATTGAATGAGCGTAGATTGATCTAATTTATTATTTTCTTTTCACTATTCTTTATTATTTTAGTGTGTCTAGTTATATTCTTAAAAGATTCTTTCAAAGACAGAAGATAATTTTTACATGACATATTTCAATAATATTCAAAAGTGACAAAGTTCCCGTTTACTTTCAATCTTTCTCCACGCTTCAGCGAAGTGCAATACTAACCTCAAATTACTTGTGACCATCAACGTAATAAACGAAATACTGTAATTTCTTCTTTATTTCCTAAGGATCTATCCAATGAAAGTTTGTTTAATAAATATCGATATTTTGTATAGATT